TTTTAGAACATATCCGTATTTTAAATACAAAAGGTTTTTCCAAAACACCGGCAAAAATGAAAATGATATATGCCATTTTAGCATATAACCATTCGATTCACTCGTCCACTAAACTAAAACCTATTGACATCATAAACGGGCATATTAGTAGCAATGACCCCTTTGATTTAGATATTAATCATGTACTCTTAAATGAATATGTAAATGACCATAAAGAAAAAGCAAAAATCATGTATTCCAAATTAAACGAAAATTTAATAAAGCGTAAAGAAAATGTTGCTAATAAAACTAATGAAAATCGGGACGACCCCGAAATCTTTAAACCAAAACAACACGTTTTTATAAAGAAACACATTCGACAAAAACATGCAAACAAATTCACCAAACCAGTAAAATTAAAACTTGTAAATTTAACACATAAAACAGTATCTACAGAACAACGCGAGAAAGTTAGCATGGATAACTTAAAACGCCCACGGAAAAAACCGTATAAATTTAAAAAATAATTTATATTTTTCAGATTTGCTGGAACTCTCGGACTCCAGGATAAAATAGTAATTCAAAATCTATCTGACAACCCAGGATTATTACCCTTTAAGATAGGAACAGCTAAAATAGAAATTTATTCCCATTCTCTCATTCACTATTACGATTTAAATCCTATAATAATTGAAGTAAATAAATTAAAAGAACAAAGTGACAGTATTAGAATGTTGATAAGCACAAATACAAATTATAGTAACGATTTATTAAACTATTTTAAGTTATTAAATTTTACAGAAAATAAAGTGATGAATAAGTTAATAGAGATCGTGCCATCTCAAAATAGGAAAAAACGAGGTATAATTAATGGTCTAGGATCAATTTTCAAATCGATTACAGGTAATTTAGATGCCAATGATGGGGAACGATTTGAAACTCTTATCAAAGAACTGCAAAATAATCAAATTAATTTAGCTACAAATATTAAGGAACAAAATTCGGTGTCATTTGCATTAATTGAAAAATTTAATAAAACGATTCAACAGATAACAAATAATGAGCATATATTAACTTCTCGAATTAAAATAATAGAATCCTTAATGAATGAAGAAATCACCCTTTCTCGTTTTAATTACATTAAAGACAGTATTGTACAAATAATAAATATTTTTGAAATCACTAATTCTATTCTACAGGATATAGAAAATTCAATTTCCTTTGCTAAAATTCAAGTTATGCACCCTAGTATAATCAAAACAATCGATTTATATAATCAATTAAAATTATTAGAAAAATACTTAAACAAAAATGAACTTCCTCTGGAAATTAATTTAAATAATGTGTTGTTATTCGAAAAATTAATAAAAATTGACTGTTTTATTTTTAATAATAAAATAACATTTATTCTAAAAATCCCTGTCGTTCAATCTGAAAATTTTAATTTATATCATTTATTCGCGGTACCTATTTGGGAAAAGAGTCAGTTTAAGGTCATAATACCTAGAAAGAAATTTTTGGTTAAAAACAAATCCAAATTCGCTTTCACGAGCAATCCATGTACAGAAATAATCCCTCGGCAATTTGTCTGCCCGAGAATTGATCTGCTTGAAATTGAAGAAGACGGCCCCTGTGAAATACAATTGTTGGAAATGAAAATTACTTCCACCTGTGAAAAAACGTCAATTCGCCTATCAAAGCCACTATTAAAGCAATTAGCCAACTCTAATCATTGGATATACACTGTGCCTTATCAAGACACAGCATATCTTAAATGTCCATCAAACGAAGAAACGAAATATTTCACCACTGGGACTTATTTAGTAGAAATTCCAAAAGGATGTCAATTAACCACACATATGGGGACTATAAGTAACCAGAAATCATCAACAACTTTTGGCCAACCAGTGTTAATCCTAGATTTGGATAATAGCACAATCCAATCCACTTCAAGCAATTTTAATTTTCACTTAGAAAATATTGAACTAGATGATCTACAAGCCATAAAGTCACAAATTACTCATAACCAACCCAAGTTATCATTTGAGAAGGTATTGATGGTTCCCAGTCTTTGGACCTTAATAATTTACGGGACTCTTGTATTCCTGGTGATGTTCTTCGTATACAAGAAACTGATGCCCAAAATATGCAGACATAAGAAATTGACCCAGTCTCCAATAGATCCGACAGCTGTTCAACTTCCTTCATCCTAACTTCAGAAGTTGAAACTCAGGGGGGAGGAATTATGTCGACTCCTATACATGGCCCTTATGGAAGAATGCTGACATTGTAAAACTCTTTGTTCTGATATATTCATTTTTATCTTATTTTGCATTTTTTATTGTTAGACGTTTTTATTTTCTTTTAGAGTAGTCAGTCAGTTGCTAGATTCCATATTGTTAAGTTGTAATTAAAAGTATAATTGTTGTATTAAGTAATAAAAGTATTTTTTTAAAAAACGAACTTTGAGTTAGTAGGAGTTAATTCGCGTTATAAAAATTATTTTTGTGTCGTTTTGGTTTAACTTTTTTAAATGTAAAAGCGTGGTTGAAATGGTACAAAAAAGTCAAACAAAAGCTGTTAAATTTGTTATTGAACTCAGATGAGTTACACATGTCTTTCCATGACTTGTTAATAATTATATTTTTAAAGATAAGCTTGTTACTGTTACTTAAATCCCTAACAAAAGATTGTGTAGTTTCTACTTGATTTGTTATTTGCAAGTTCAATTCACAGAGTTGTAGTGAATGGTCTGATAGGAAACTATTTTAAACAATAACATTTTTATATTCAATATTTGTAAAAAGTGGATCAATTAAAGTTGTTGTTGGTTTTGTAACAATGTTGTACAGGCCAAATTTCCTAAAAATATGCATAAGTAATTTTGTTTCATTACTATTAATAAGCAAGTCTACATTCATATCACCGCATACAGCATAATATGTAGAGGGGTTATAGTAAAAACACAGGTCATATAACCTAGCAGTAAACAATTTGAAATCTGATTTGGGTGGTCTATAGAGAGAGATGACAAAAATGTCCTTATTTTTAAAGATAAGATAAGGATGTCGTTTGACTGAATTCGGAAGTTTTAGAATTTAAGCTTCTAGTGTTTTAGTAGTAACAGTATAGGTCATGGTTTTAGTGGTTTTTCCGAGGTTTTTCGCTATTATAGGGTTTCCATTGCAGTAAACAATTTTCAAAGGTTTTCCATTTTTAATGTGATCATTCATATTTGCTTTTAGGTTTTTTAATTATCATTACATCACTAAAAAAAAAGTACAGGACCAACCATTTGTTTATAGAGGTTTGTAAGGTCGCTTGTGATATATACTTGTATTTTGTTGTCGATTATATTTTAAGGTTTTTTGAAAGCAGATTCAAATAATTTTCACCTACTCCTTGTTGATTATGCATGTAACATCAAGCCCAAGAAATTTAAATGTGGGAGTGGTTTTAGCCTTAAGGATTGATGTCAAAATAATAATAATAATAATAATAATAATAATAATAATAATAATAATAATAATAATAATAAATAATAAACATCTTTATTGCACAAAAGTAAAGTACATAGGACGAGATTTAGCTTGGCTATTCTTACACCTAACCCTAAATCTAAAGTATTGATATGTTAAATAAAGAATAATTATAATAATAATATTTGCGGCAAACAACTTTATACAAAATCTTAAGCAATGTTAAATAAAGAATAATAATAATAATATTTCACGCAAACAACTTTATACATAATCTTAAGCAATGGACTTAATTATATTGAACTTTTATACTAGTAATTACATTTACATTTTATATTTACATTATATATTATTTACATTATATATTATTTACATTACATAAAAAAAATAATTCCTGTAAGGCAAACTAGATCTTCACATTTTACTGCTGGAATAAGAGCAAACTTTTGACATTTTGTTTAAAAATACTTGTTAATTTGATATTTTTTGTTAAGATCTAGGCCATTATATAGCTTAATTGCATTATATGAAAAAGATCTGGTGTGTGTAGTCAAGTGAAATTGTGGCATATTAAGTTGTGATTGATCCCTCCTAATAGCATGCTGATGCATAGTTGCTCTGGGTATTAGTTTATCTATTAAATATACTGGTTTTGAGGATATAATTATTTTCTGTACAAATGTTAAAATACTGCGTAGTCAAATAAGATATATGGTCATATTTCCTCAAATTAAGTGGGATAAATACTAGATCTAGACTCTATTATATTCTCAAATATCAATTTATATATCACTTCTTTCATTTGTCTACTACTATATGCTTAAATATAAGAAAATATTCTGATGATCATCGTTTATGTACTAATATCAATAAAATATTCACTTTTTGAGATTTTTTTATAAAACATTCATCTTTCTAAAATTGGTATAGTATTTGTTTTCAAGTGCCACCCTGTTTTTCGTAATAGAGGGTGTCATCATCACATAATATGTTTTATATGGAAACCATTGCAAAAATAATAAATACCTTTCCCCACTTGACCATTCACTCTTAGGTTCTAATTAACAGTGCTGTTCCTAAAGTGGCGCTGGGAAACAGTAACAAAGCCTACACAAAACACGAGGCGAAATAACCAAAGTAGTTGAAGTGGATGACACACAAAAAAAAATACCTCATAAAATAATCCGAATATGTACACAAAACTATGTATAGTGGATCAAATATTAAAAACGAACGTTTACAAACGATCAAGGTATTTAATATGAATATTTAATTTGTAACTTTCACAATACATCAAATTTTAATTTAAAATACCTACTACAGTTCATGTATGCAATCATTATTTCAGGATTAAGCAAATTATAATAAAGCTTATGGACTTGTAGCAGATAAAATCATAATTAAAAAAAGTAAAACACAAGTGGTTGGATCTTATCTTATAATCATGGGTTGGATATAAATAAGGGGTCATAAGGGCATTTTTTTTATTGGTTATGTTGTACAAATATAAATATTGAAAGTTATAAGTACTTACAGTCAGGAATGGATCGATTTAGAAAACTTTTCAATAAAAGGTGTTCCGTAATTGGAATGGTACACCTGCAAGCACTTCCAGGTAAACCAGTTTCACTTTTATTATGATAAAAATACGAAAAAACTGAATTAATTCCATTTACCTATTTTTGATATGTCAGAATTAAAATGACACGTGCTATTCAAAATGAATAAAGTTGACGGTTGATGCCTCCTAAGTACCGGCAACCAACAATACAGTTTGACATAATAGTTGCATATATAAGTTAAACGATCTAAAAGGGGAATTTTATACATTTCACATTTGGGGAAAACAAGGCTCAACATTGGAAATACGACTTTTTATCTCTTTGAAAAATAAAAATACTATTTTTTCTAAACATAGTAGGTAGGTACATCAAAAACTAGTACATGGGTAATAGATGGGGTTGCCACAACCGTGACGACAGAGCATCAGGTTCAAATATCAAGCATTTTTATATAATTAGGTCCATTAATTATTACAATAACACACCATTAGGAAATAGATAGCTAGGTTACTTTTGTAATCAGGGCAGACCACTCTGAAAATGAGGATAATTCCTATAGCAGGGAAATAGAAAAATAAAATGTCCTAGAAAATGTAAAACATGAAAAAGTCAATAATAAACAAAACAAAAATTACAATATCTAAAAAAAAAAGTACTCGCCTTGTATTTTTCGTAAAACGAGGATCCTTTAGCCGATATTATTTATCTAAAAAAAAATATTCACCTTATACTTTTCGATAAATCCAGTTCCTCCTTTTTATTTACAAGTTTGAATATTAAAAATCGTGGCATTTGCATGAAAAGAGTGGCATTTTTATCAAAAGCGGGACATTTTCGTACTGTGACGTTGAGCGTACAAGCAAGTCAAAAAGCGTGGAAAATACGCCAAAAGCGTGACGTCTGGCAACCCTAGTAATAGAGATACGATTTTCTATTAGTAAAACTGAAACATATATGCTTTAGGTATTTTAGTGAATGCACTTCACAAAACTGGAGATATGATTGTTTATCTCTATATGGTCAATTTTCATTTTAATCCGCCTGTTTGATGTGGCTTATCACACGGGATCTTTACCAATTTTCAATGTGGAATTCAAAACCACATTATACCCTAGCGATGTACAGGGTACTTCCTAATTACGGTACGAAACCTCAGAGGCGGTGATTCCTTAGGTCGTTTTATGAAAAAAAAAGGTTCTTATGTCCAGAGTTGCTTCGTTTCTGAGATACAGGGTGAAGTTGTACGCACTGATTTTTTTTAGTTTTATATTTTATCAGATTAAGCAACTAAAATACAACTTTTTGGTCTCTTGTGTTTTCTTCATATCTAGCTTCGTTTCTGAGAAAATAAAAATCACTTTAAATCATTCTAAAAACTATCCATGGACAACATAAAATAAAAACCAAAAAGAAAAAATTAATGATTTCTATTCTAAAGTAAATGGGCAAACTGACCACCTTCTGATAAAATACACGACTGCTGCAATCGATTTGTCATTTTGTGATACGTTCAAAAATACCTGTAGTATTCCTTATGACATTGCAATTATCAATTATTCGATTCCCCAAGAAATTCGCATTTAGTACAGCAGTTTTATGAACAAGAGCAGCCTTCAGATGAACCCATAAATAAAAAATCTAGAGGATTCATATCCGGACTACGAGCTGGCCAATTATAAAATCATGCACGTCCTATCCAGCGATTAGAGTAGGTAACGTCGAAATGCCGATAAGCAAGAACACGAAAAAAAAATGTAGCCACGTCGTGCATAAACCACATGTTGGCTCAGGGTTACATCTTCTAACAAACTGGGTAAATTATCTTGCAAAAAGTTCGTCTAGGATTCACCTGTTAATCTTGATGATACAAAAAATGGGCCAATTAGGTAGTCATCAATAATTCACACCCAAACGTTCAGCGAAAATTGTTGCTGAAAATGACTTTCTCTAATAAAGTAGGGATTTTTGTCGGCTCAAAAATGGTCATTGTGAAAATTAATAATAGCATCTCGTGAAAAATTTACCTCGTCCGAAAATAAAATCTTTGGTAAAATATTAAAATTGTATGCCATCGTATGAATCAATCACCTGCAAAACATTAATCTTGGGTAAAAATCCCGAAGCAGTAGAGCTTAGATATGCAATATACAGGAGATTTCTTTTTAGACTTTTTCAAACGGTTTTTGGACTGATTTCAAGCTGCAGTGCAATCTTCCTGGTACTATTTAAAGGATCTTCTTCTCTCGCATGAAGGATATAGCTTCTTCTAGTTCAGACCTGGTTACAGTTTCTGGTCTTCCACCATCTGTATTTGTATTAAAACTACCAGTTTCACTTAATCTTGCATGTAGCGTTCTAAATGTTTTAGCACATGGAATCACTCTGTTATCTTTTCTGATAAATTATCCGTGCTTCTTCCGCATTTCCATTTGCTGATCCATAAATAAAGTGCATGTCAGTCATCTCAGAATGAGTAAGTTATTTATGATATAATCACTGCTAATTGACACTGTGAACTGGTCTCCAGAGCAGGTAAGTACGTACTTGATTGGACAATAATTTGTTATAAAAAGCTGATGTGGTATGCCAAAAATGTGATAATAAAAGTCATTGAAGTTGAACGTTTATTTTCTACTGGAAAAAATAGTAAACCTATTGAAACCATGGCAGTGGTCTTACAAATTTTAACCCAGTTGCCTTACAAGACGCCCCTGAAATGATTAAGTCAGATCTAATTACTAGCTCGAAATAAAACGAGTAAAAAAAGTAAGTACCAAGTTTTAGACAAATGGGCGAGAATTTTTGGTATTAATAAAAAATCAATTTGTTGTTCTTGATATGCAATAGAGTGGACTTTATTTTATTTACTTTTTTTTTTGAAAACGAAGATAGATATGAAGAAAACACAAAAGACCAACAAGTTGTATTTTTAGTTGTTTAATCTGAAAAAAAAAAAAAATACAAAACTACAAAAAATTCAGTGGCATACTTTTTTCTCTCGATAACATTGGCTGTGGTACCCACTAAGACGCCACTGGACCCAATAATTTCAGTCTAGTTAGGGCTACATAAGCGCATTATTACTTCAAATAACTGTACCAATTTTCAACCAAATCGGTTTAAGGATGTTTGTTATATTTATAAAATACCGCGACTATTTTTTTTTTAATTTTAACGCCCTGTATCTCAGAAACGAAGGAACTCCGGACATATGTTCATAAGAGGATTTTTTCATAAAATGACCTAGTGAATCACCTTCTGAAGTTTGATACCGTAGTTAGGAATTACCCAGTATAGTAAGGTGACCAATCGTCCTCCTTTAGAGAGGACAGTATCCTTCTTTTGTAGGTTCTGTCCTTCCTCGAAAAGTGACCTCGCTGTTCTCCTTTTCGATATTTTGTGGGCTTCGATTTCTACAGAAGACCATGTAAATTTATTTGCATTTGATGGATGTCCTATTAGAAGAAATTTAATTTCTATTGATATGACATCCATATTACAAAAATCGCTATGCTTTACCGTTTTCGATGGTGGTAGGTGGGGGTTTCCTCACCTGTAAGTCAAATGGCGCCATCAATCACCTTTAATTTATAATATTTTATGAATAATTTTTTTGAAGGCACTTATTCTGTATTATTATATTATTTAGCTAAATTATTAAAATGTTTACAATATTCTATATTGGAATGCTTTCCGTTTTTGTATAACATTTATAGTTCAAACGATACTACTGGTCAAAAAGGAGACACTATCGAATATCCTGTCTGGTCATGTGCCTGACACATGGCCTTTATTCAGCATTCAGTATTAATATGGTAAAAGGCCAGCAATTTACCGTTAGCTTTTCATCAATAGGCAATTAATTGCCAATATATTTATTTCTAAACATTTAAGGGTAAATGGAGGCGGCTGTTTTCGGCCCGACTATCGGCCGTAGTGATCTATATATGACGGCCTTTATATTATAAAAGTTAAATGGCCATCATAACAATTGGAGGGTAACAGTTATTGAGCCTTTTATTATCCTGCACAAAATGTTTGTTGGGCAACAGCTACAATAAAAAGTCTTTTTACCGTACGACCAAAATCGTTGTGGGAAAGAGCGTTAGATCGTAGCATAACTCGCACAAGACATCTAATTTTAATTCACTCCCTGCAATGGCCAACATTTTTATAAGAATGTAATTGCACAATACAAAAAGATGTGAAATATTTTCTGGGCCAATCAACAAAAGTTAATGTACTTACTACTCAAAATGTTGTGATAGGTTAACTTATGTATGATTGTTATTAATAAAAAGTATTTATTACCATCATGTGGCTTTGAATCGCCGTTTGCAAGAATTCATCAGGTCTACTGTCTGCACTTCAAGAAAATTCATCACCTCTTTAAAATAACCTTACAGTCCACTTGAATTTTGGTCCAGAACAGGGCCGTATTAGACGACGTGTTGGTATCAGTCTACAGTACCGTTATAGCCCAGTAAGTTTTACTTACCTTGTAACTCGATATTATATGTGACCCACATTTTTAGGCCGAATCACTTAAAATCTGTGGTAAATGACTTTGAGTATTCTTTCCTTATATATGCTGCATTTGTTTATCTATATCTACATCGGATGCATTTTAAGATGTTGTGAATCAAGATACGTAAATATAGTAGGAACAGATGTATCCGATGTGGATAAACAAACGCTCGAGAGATAAAAAATGCATCGGATGTTGATATTCAAACGAAGCAAATAGGATTTCCACATTAGTGAAAATGAATGATTTACTATACAAGTATTTATTATTGGTAAAAAATCATTACATTAGTAGGAGGCATTTTTTTAGTACTACATATTGAAAAAGCTGCCTAACCTCAAAACATAAATTTTTCGGAAAATGATTGTAGGCAAAAGTTTCCAAATGAGTGTGTTACAGTTAAATTAATAGTGGCACGCGAATAACCTATTTCTGATGTATACTAAAGTTTAGGGGGACCATAACCCCCATAAAATTTAAACGGAGTGCAGTTTTCGTTTGTTTCCTTACAAAAGTTTGTCTACTTTAAGAAGAACATAATATATCTAGTTTAACATACACATTATTTAGCAGTTTCCGAGTCATTGGAAAAATTATATTTCAATATGCAACTTTCAAAACGCTCGCTATAATTTTTTTGTACTTTGGTATATAGGTAGATAAATTAGGTCTGACCGACCTTTTTTGGTTACCTACCTGTTTGTTACACTCCCGTATTTTCACTTAATCTACAAAAAAAGTAAAACATTTAATTGATTACAGGGTGCCCTTTATTTTCTGGTTCTGTTAACAAAATCGTCGAAAAAGCTTGCGAAGAAACTGAATTATACTTGAAACATGACATAGTAAGTAAATTTATTTCATTACAATAGAATAAACGGCATTAAATACTGTTTTTCAGGATGGAATACTTGTTGAAAATATGCACGATATACCTTATATACAGTCGAAATATTTTGGTCCAGAGGTCACTTCAACTATGACCAGAATTTGTACAGAAATAAGAAAACTTATTCCTGAAACTAAACCTTTTGGAGTTCAGGTGAAAATTGTTTTATTTTGTACAGCTTCCAAGTTTGGAAAATATTTTACAATAACCATCATACACTCCCCAGTACAACATTCCGTCACCCTAAAATTTTGACCTATGTTTTATAACTTTTTTATGTTTTATTCTATTTTTATGAATTTTATACCAGTTTGCAGATACATTTATTGTGATTTTTGTTTTTAAATTATTGCAATAAGTAACATTTTTACGTTCCTATCTGTATCAGATAAGGAAAATATAGAAATCATGATTTTTTCGACCTCGAGTTTTCGACGTTTTTTACATTTTGGGGTCCCTTGAATCCGTTTTGACTATTTTCGCGATGATGTCTGCGTGTGTGGGTGTCTGTATCCTCGATAACTCATGAACGGATACAAAGAAAAACACCAAATTTTAAACTTAAGCTTTATTCCGGCCTCCAGTGAACTGATTAGATTTTGAACAGAGTCGGAACATCTAGGGGGGTACTTTATAGATGGTCACTTTTATATTTTATGGAATATATGTTATTTACGTTTAGAGAAGAACATTCTTCAAATAAAAGTTACTTACAATATTGTCTAATTATAATTTTTGTTCTATACAACATTTTCCTAAAATGGTCCGTATTCGAAAAATTTGACAAAATGTAAAAAAATTAATTTTTTATAAAAATTATTCAAATAAAAGTTGTTTGTCTATAATTTTTATCCTATACGTAATTTCTATAAATTTCGAATTTTGAAGAAAACTCAACAACGGATAAAGGAAAAAACGTTTCATTTTGGCCTGAGGTGAAATGATTAGATTTTGGACAAAGTCGGAACATCTGGGGGGTACTTTATAGGAGGTCGTTTTTATATTTTATGGAATATATCTGTTATGTTTGGAGAAGAAAATTGTTCAAATAAAAGTTAATTCTAATATTATTATTTATAATTTTTGCTTAATGTCCAATTTTCCTGAAATGGTCCGTATTCGAGAAATTTGACAAAATGTGCAAAATTCTGATTTTTAAGAAAATTGTTTAAACTAAAAGTTGTTTGCGATATCGATCTCTATAATTTTTGTTTTTTACATGATTTTTCTAAAATGGACCGTAATAGAAAAATTGGAGGAAAAGTGCTATACACATGAAAGTATGTTCTTACCGCTTAAAAATTATAAGTAGGTCTGGTAAATATTCTACTAAATGTACTTAAGTAAGAAAAACTCAAAATCGGTCCCTCATAAAATTAGGTATTTAGTGTTGTCAAAAGACAACCGGTTTCAGCCAGTGGTATATTTAAAATGGAATCCCAATATCACCGGGTGCGCGTGGAGGAAATAACCCTCTAACGCTGCTGAAAGTGTAGCAAAAAATTTATGAAAACACTGGAGTACTCGGAGGCATGTGCATTATTGATGTAATCTCATGATTCTACAGTACCGATTTTTGCAACTTTGAGTTTGATTTTAAGGTTATTCGTTATTCTATCATTTATTTTGTTTGGTTTTGATCTTTGGCGGCTTTAGAGTACCTGTGTTTTATAGTTAATGTCACGTTTGTTTAATTTAAAAAAAATAGTTTATTTATCATTTATTTACTAATTAATTTAAATCTTAGGCACTATTATAACTCACAATTCTAATTTATTTATTTCAGTCTGTCTTTACTATCCAACACTTTTATTGAAACTTAACATCCATCGACAAACTTGCCCTGTTTACATAAAGTCAGCTCTACACCAGAATACTCTCAGCGACCCAGAACGTCCGGGAACTCCCTTTATGACTCAGACGCCGCACAGAGATCTCTCCGGTGGCTTCTCGAAGCAGCGCGTTTGTCTCTATATGGCCAGCGTTGGACTCAAAGATAACAGAGATATAACCATTCATTGATAAAATATAATATTCACGATGTCAAGATTAATTCGGCAATCGATACTCTATTAGTAGGGACGGGACGAGGCGACGAAAAATGAGAAGTAAGAGGAGAGATAAAGAGAAGAATTTTACGCAGATACAACTTATTTTTATCAATGAATAAATGTGTAAGCCGCTATAATAAACAACGTAAATATCCATGCCGGTGTAAGCCCTGTTGCCAATTCCAACCTAACATGAGTAGGTTTTGGAATTTACTGAAAATTATTACATCTAATTTAGTGAAATTACATAATTTAGTTAAATTTAATATAACTAATGATTCAAAATTGTTTGGGTTCAGTTGCAATAAAATAGGTTGAATTATTTAGCATTTTTAATATATGTAAATAATTTTGTAAACAAAACGAGAATAATGAAATAGGCATATGCCAACAGCGGATATTATACCCCCCAGTGTTCCTTAGAATGTCTTATTCAGGACCGCACGATATTTGGTAGTAGTTACATCTCCTCATTATCTCGGTTTGGACTTCATACCGCGGACAAGATAGTAAACAGAGAACAGAGTCGGCTTCGCGTCACATTAATATTTTTAAATTGAATTTATCTACTTCATCAGGAAATAGGTACATTTTGAATTTTTGAAAAATAGATTAAATTGGTTGTTACTTGTTGATTAAATCTCATTGTAAATTTTGGAAAAATAAATTAAATTTATTGTGTTACTTGTTTAGAAATTTAAGAGAATGGGGAAACATGTTTTTCGTAATTTAGAGACTCTAAAACGTGAAAATCTGAAATAATCTCGGAAGGTGATTTTTTTACGATTACAATACTTCCCCAGGGAAGTAAAAATATGATATATCTATTCTGCAGAGCAAATTATCAATATTGTTTATAATTATTAGTATAGGTGAGTTCGGGCTACGTACTCTTCACTATGTTCACTCCTAAAGTACCTAAGGCGTTCGAGAACGGAAGGAGTTAAAATAAAAGTTCCTGTTTGACCGTTCGGAGATCGTGGAGTGGAGTGTGGATCGGGCATGCGCATAAGGTGATTTAAATCGATAATAAGATAATTGCGACTAATTCTTAAGTAAAAATGCTTTTTATTTGGTTCCCGTGCCTACCAATAATATGGAAGAAACTTATACGGTTGTTACTGATAAGTACGATTAGGTTTTAAGTATTAGTATGTCACATTAACAACTGACTTTGAACTCTGAGAGTAAAAGGAGTAAAACCATATGCGCACTCCGTTTACGCCTACTTACTCCACTCTGGAGTGCGCAGCCCGAACTCACCTAATATAGATATTATTTTATTTTTAACCTTGTAAAACATTGTCTACAAGAAATAAATTATTTGTCTATCTATTGTAATGTTACTCACCAGAAGTTACTTGGCCTCGGCCGTAAATTTCTGATTCGGTCAAAAAATATTAACTCTATTAAAGCCTTTGGTATACAAATACCTATTTTATTTCTATAAATGACATTTAAAATTGATGAGAAACGTATTTTTTTATCAGCGATCTAATTGTAAGTAGGTACCCACCTATGTGACAAGTTCTAAAATTGAGTTGGTTAGGCTATGAACTAACTGAAAGTGCTTAGCCCAGACCCAAGTTAAATTTATTAGGAACTGACCAAAATTTTTTAGTACAATATCCAAAAGGATGAAAGTTGGTAATGCAACTACTGCTTGGAAAATCCACGGATGGAAAATCCAAGAAAAATAATAAGTGTTAACCAAGCGAAAATAAGAGTGGAGAAGTTATGAAGACAATACAGAATTAGATCGTTATGTATACATTATTAGTTACAACTGTTTCTTTGTAAATTTTAGACCTAATGATGGCTTAATACCGAAACCGGTTGTCTTTTAACAACATTAAATAATTTTGTGGGACCGATTTTGAGTTTTTCTTAACTACCTTTAAGATGACCACATTAGAGCAGTTCTATTAAATGTTTTTATTTTTTAATCACGCTTCTTTATAATATAGGGTAACCATATTTCTTTTGACCCAATTCTGGACAACATTGATAAACTTTTTAAAGGTGAGGACTTTTTGTAACTCCCCAAAAGTAAATGCAAAAAAACAGAGAAGTCATTATTACGTTTTTGTCTTGTTACGTTTCAGTAAATTATTTATTACATTGCTGGACATTAATGACGTTTGGCTGGACAAATACAGAATTTTGCTGGACAAAAACGGCGTTTTGCTGTACAAGATCAAATGCTGGACAGACTTTGAAAATGATGTACGGTATGGTCACCCTATTGTAATAATAATTGAATTGACTAATCTGATAATCTTTTTGATACATTATAAATAAATATTTGTATCTGGTACTTGAATAATTTTTCCTCTATCTGACCCAACTCTACTTAATTCTTGTTATGTGGTTATGGAGCATCTTGCATGTCGAATTTATTTCATAAATGTGTAGCTTATGTGGAACTACATAACACTGAATAGGATTTTTTCGAAATCTAATTTAGCTATGCTATGAGCAGTAATAATTGGCACATCCTGTATGAAATGACACATATCTTGAAACCATTTCTGTAAAATGTTTTACTATATTGTAATTAATTCCTAAAATATTGCAGGTTCTTGCTTGCGGTAATAGAGAAGCCTTGGCTATTGCAAAAGCATGCTCTATGAATTTCGTCAGAGCTGAAGGATTTGTTTTCAGTCATGTAGCTGATGAGGGTTTCACCGATGCCAATGCAGGTTTAATACTCCGTTATAGGAAACAAATTCAAGCTGAAGATGTACTCGTTTTTACTGACATTAAGAAGAAACACAGGCAAGTATTATTACTTTGTTTTTCTGTTTAAAATAAAAATGGTAGAATATAATTATTACTTGTACAAATCTGCAATAATCTAAAAGGTAATATTAAAAAATATTTTGTTTGCCCGTCTTTTTCCAGGTCTTTAAGTCCTTTATGTCACGTTTTTTGTCCGCACGATAAATCAAATACAAAACACGATATCAATTTGAAAATTTCAGGAAAAATCAAGCTCTATAAGGGGACGAAGCCTATTGATTCTGAAAAAATCTGAATAAAAATAGGAGGTTTAAGGGATGTTGAAATTAAAAAAAATCAAATCAAAAATGAAATGTGATTGAAATCATCAGGAAAAATCAAGCTTTATAAGGGGATGAAGCCAATTGATTTTGAAAAAACTCTAAATAAAAATGAGGGGTTAATGGGGGTTGAAATAATTAAAAAAAATAAATTGAAATTTTTAGCAAAAATCAAGCTCTATAAAGGGACACGGCCTATTATTGATTTAAAAAAAATTGTGAACAAAATGGGGGGTTAAGGGGGGTTCAAATAAAAAAAAAATAGAAATCAAACCCCAAAAGCGATATCATGCAACTGTTAAACTGTGGAGTGTATAAATAATATAGAATGTCAAGCAATATATATCTTCATTCTCGTTTTTTATTTATCATATTATAATAATATAATTACGAGGGTGAATCAAATATAAACGGGATTTTTTAAATCAACTGTATTTATTAAACGATGAAAGACAAAAATAAGTTATTTTTCTACATAGCCTCCCCCTTTAGAAATGCATATTTCCCAGCGCACGGGAAGGTTTTTCATTCCAGCATCGTAAAATGAAACTGGTTGGGTCAGCAGCCAATTAAGCTTCCTTAAGAGGCACAAACGAATGAAAATCACAGGGCGATAAGTCCGGGCTGTAGAGAGGGTGTTCCAGTGCATTTCATCCAGTTTTGAGGCTGTTAGAGCTGCAGTATGTGGTCTGGCATTGTCATGGAGAAGGATGACCTCTCAAATCCGTTGTTTTCGTCTTTTGCTGCGATGTGCATCTCTCACCTTAGTCGATAGCTCGCAATAGTAAGCAGGGCCGCCGAGAGCCAGGCCGGGCCCCAGGACAATTCTCTAGATCGGGCCCCGTGACAAAAAACAGCTCTTCAAACAAATACTTTTCCTCTTCTAGTTGAATTGAGTTTCTAACAAAAATCCTCAATTCAATTGAAGTTTCTAAAAAAAAAAAAAAAACTTCCCCCTCTCGTCTTGTGTCGATTTTCTCCCCTTTATACCACTGCCGGGCCCCCATTTGAGTCCGGGCCCCGGGAATTAGTCCCGGCTACCCCCCCCCTCTAGTCGGCCCTGATAGTAAGCAGCATAGATTGTGCGTCGCACGTGCAAAAAAAATAATGGCATAAACTTTACGGAACTCTGGGTCCTTTGTGATGATCGTTTGACAACTCCCATAACTTATTCCCACCTGTTCTGCAATTTCGGATACCATAACTCGTCGATTGTCTTCAAGAATGTCTCGACCTGCGCGAATGTTTTCAGCAGTAATGCTGGTCCGAGGATGGCGATTATGTTCCTCATTTACTCATTTTCCACTCGTTCTCACCCTTCTTTGAACTCCTTATCCCAAGGAAACACGCGAGTCCTTGACAATGTTTGGCCCTGAACTGTGCACTTAATCTTCGAAAAATATCCCACGCCTTCACTCCTTCACGAGCGAGAAATTTTATAATAATGCGTTACGCAGTAGAAGGGTGTACTTTTTGCTCGGACATCGCGACAGCTACTGACAAACAGGTTTGGGGTCTGAAATAGTGATGTAAGAATACTTATCCAAAAATCCGTTGAATCCGAATATTAGAAGGATCCGGATATTCCGGAATCAATGTGTAAATTCGAATACGGATTCGGTATCAAAAAGGACAGAAACAAAATCGTAATACACGAATCGAATGCTTCATGTTCTGTGTTCATGACAGAGCCGATTGCGGGTGGCAGCCGATACGAAATCGGATTTCGGAAATGTCTAGCGTTGTTGCAATTCATAGTCAGTTAGTCGGCATGCACTAAGCATATTTTAAAGGTAACATGAAGTTGTATAAATATAAATAATGTTCAGTCAATGAGAAATGTTGTTTCTGATATGATAAAAAAACAAAATATTTGAGATTTATCTTTTGTTTATTATTCCAAAACGTTTATAGCTTCTCTCAAACATAAATTCTGCTAGGGTTTACAACACTGCCCGGTTCCGATTCCCATGGTCGAGGTGTATTTACGGTTGCGTATTATTATGATTTCATACACATGGAATATGGATACGTATCCGAATGATGAATCCGAATATCTCTTGGTTCCGAATACGTATTATCCGAATACTAAAAAGATACGGATATTCACAACACTAGTCTGAAACGACTGGCTCCTTTTACTCCCAGTGACCTCACCCAAGCATACAAGAAGCGCGCGCTCACTCCTGCCAACCGTAAATGCTCAGGAAAAAAATCCCGTTTATATTTTATTCATCCTCGTATTATGCTAAATAAAACGTATTTAAAACAAAAAAGAATAATTATGATAAAATGTATTTAAAATAAATAAGCAACCATACTACGTATTTTCTTCTAAAAATAAAATGACTGCTTTCATCGTGAATTGAACCGCAATATGCAAATATTGATTGCATGTTGAATGCTTAACTAACTGAGCTATCGAGGCATGTTCTAATAAAATGTATATTGTTAATTTTTTTAGCCGATATTTTTTACAACTTTGAATTGTCTGAAGTCTCGTTAAACTAAATCCTTGCAGATAACACCATCGTACAACTTTGCGGCCGCCGCTAGGCCTAAGTCCGTATTTATAAACAAAACTCAGCTGAGTTCCGGTGTTACACTGGAAGTTAGAGATGCATATTAGCAAATCTGTAACTGTTATGCTCATTTACAGATTTGTTACTACTCATCTCTAAATTCACCCGATATAACCGAACTTCGATTTTAGTTCAAGGACGACTTACAAAAGTCCGACTCAGCTGAGTTTTTTTTATAAATACGGACCTTAGACTATTAGAGCTCGTTTTTTTTTTTGTGAAGAGCACACTTCGTCATAATGTGCAGCAACCAATTTGAGTTTGTAGGCGTGGTCAGACAGATTTAAACGTGATCGAAGCCGCCTGCCGCTCATACAAGTTGAATTCAGTAGCGTAGTGTTACTTATTTGTACTTGTTGCATTTATTTAGCTATTTTGAGTTTCTTGAGTTTTGTGCTTCGATTTTTGAGTTTCCTGAGTTTTTGTGCTTCGATTTGTGTGTATATAAACTTTAATTTGTTATATTTTTTGAATTCCTAATTAATTTTGTGTATATTTTGGTAAGTATGTACATTTACAAAACTATAAATATTAATCTCTGAAGAAACCGAACATTCTGAAATATTTTAAATACCTTTTTTTTTTTTTTTTTTTTTTTTTTTTTAATTTGGTGTCATCGGCGTCGACTACTATGGCCATTAGCCTCGTGTTCTGTGTAGGCTTTGTTACTGTTTCCCAGCGCCACTTTAGGAACAGCACTGTTAATTAGAACCCAACAGTGAATGGTCGAGTGGGGAATCCTACCAAGGCATCAGAATTAATTTTAAATAATTAAATTAAATGAAAAAATCCCGGCCAACGGTGGGATTCGAACCTGAGACCTTCCGATCTCAAAGTCATGACTCTAACCACTGAGCCAACCCACCCCCCTTTAAATACCTTTTAAAACCAGATTTTTTGTAAACCATATTTTTCTTATCTTAAGAGCAATTACTGCGGTAATGAGATAAAATTCGTAGGTTTTATATATTTTATCACCAAGTTCTTAATATTTAAGGTATTGTACGTGATATTTTTTTTGTTGCTATATAGTAACTTAAATTACAGTTCTGTAGTATGAAATCAACAAAAAAGTATTACCACAACGCAGAAAACAAAAATAAAAAAAGTCTGAGTATGATCACTGTTTTAAGGATTCGGTGAACATATTATTATTTCTTGATGAAAAAACTGAAACCAAAATTAAACACTCAGATAAAATAAAAAAAAAATATTTTTTCAATACAAATTGTAAAGGAAAGATTTCTCTAGAGAATTTTTAATAGAAAATTCTAATCGAATAAAAAATAAAAGCTGAATCCTTAAAACAGTGATCATACTGCGTTGTGGTAATACTTTTTTTGTTGATTTCATACTACAGAACTGTAGGTAGTTTAAGTTACTATTCGCTGTGTGCATTTGGCTTGGAGGGGATAGATTGAGCTATCGCAGCGCCTATGGTGGCAGGAGTCGGCGATTGTCCACATCATCGTAGTAGCGCGGCAGCGTGTTGTGGGTCTCGTAAACGCAATTACAAGAAACTGACAGAATTCGCCGAGTTGCATCAAGCTGAAATAATATTAGAAAACATGCGATTATTTTTATTATTGTCAATAATAAATGGATTTCAACACAATTTTTATCTTACATGCAATTCTACAAGATATTCTTTTTTCGTGACAGACATTTGTCTAATGACACCAGCTCGGATAAAAAGGCCAACACCTGACTCTCTGTGCTCTTCGACATTTATGACAAGCCCAGCTTCTACCAAATCTTTACCTTTTCTTGGCGTTTCAGGCTGAAAGTTTGTCATGAGATATTTTCTCAATTCCAGTGTACAAGATGACACTCACGACAAAAATGTAAAATCTAAAAATACAGACAAATTACATTGATTTATGACATTCAAAACGCAGATACTTCGTATGCATAACCTCCAAATATTTTTATGTCATTTACTTACTTTTTGTGCGACAGAAACAATTTTTGTTAGTCTATCAACTAACAGCGAATACAAAACTTGTTGCAACACTTAACTGTTGAAAAAGAATTTTCAAGTTCAACTGTTGAGTGTGAGGTGTATAGCAAGTATGCGGGAATGAATGAGGAGAACTGTCGCTATCCCGTCACCAGAGAGCGCTACCAGTCTTGCACACAGCGAATATAGCAACAAAAAAATATCACGTAAATACCTTAAATATTAAGAACTTGGTGATAAAATATATAAAACCTACGAATTTTATCTTATTACCGAAGTACTAACTCTTAAGTCACTTTAATTTGTATTACTATTTCAAAAATTTTCCTTGGCTAGAGGTTCGGTTTGCTCTTGATGAATAGAAAAATAAGTTTAATACTATTTACAACAAATTTTCTACAAATATCTATATTTTTAGCTCGTTCAAAACGGAGCAGAAAAAATTATTAGGTAAAAAGGGCCAAATTCTTCAAAGTCGAAAGAAATAATTTAACGCCTCGTAAATTTTATGAAAACTGAGGCTAAACACCGTATTCAAATACCATTACACAAATACAGAGAAAATGTTAGCTGCTACAGGGATTTCTAGAAGCAGTTATTCTAGAATTAAGAAGATGGATGGTGAAGTAGAAAGTGAAATTAGTACTTCATTTTCACAAAGAGGATATACAAAAAGAAGTACATTTGTAGAATCTATAAGGCCTGAAGAGTTGGAAAAACTCAGAGGTATAATCCATGATTGTCATATTATTGAGAAAAGACAACTCTAAATTGTAAGTTACTATTTTGATTATAATGGCAACGTAGTTAATATAAATATTATTTTAGGTATATTACAAAAAATTAAGGATTGTTGTTTTGAATTCCGGGGCAGCATCTCATCACTTAGGAAAATATTATTAAACATGGGTTTTAAGTAAGTACAAATAACGTTATCTAAAAAAATCAAAATAAAATGATACCAAAATAATTAATTTCTCATAGTCAATTTTTGTACGTATAAAATTACAATGTTTATTTTTTCAGGTGGAAAAAAATGAAGACATCAGATCTGTTCTGTTGGAATCCTACGACATTAGGAATAAGAGGACAAATTATTTAAAATCCTTAACACATTATCGGCAAGAGGGCAGAACTATTTATTATTGTGATGAGATCTATTTACATAGTAGTCATACACATTCGAAAGGATGGACCGATGGCAAAGGAAAATTCAAAATTCCAATGAGCAAGGAGAAAAGGCTCATAATGTTGCATGTAGGGAGTAAGGATGGTTTTGTAGAAAATGGACTGTTGATATTTACTTCAGGTAATAATATATTTTTTATAGAAAATTATTTATTATTTGCGTCTTTACCTACTTCATAAAAATCCATGATGCTTAACAATCGAAAGTTATGATCAGCTTAAATTTAATTTAAACTGTTAAAAGTATCTAATTAACAAGTAATTTAAGTACTTAATCCTCTATTGTTATAAAAGGGAAAGTTTTTGGTAATAACTTTTTCTCAGGATTATTATAAGTCTTATCATCTTAAAGAAATATTTCTTCTAAAAACAGATTTTTTTTAAGTTTAAAATTCCTAATAATTTTTGCTTAACTAAACAATTATTTCATTTAAAAGAGTTTTTTTTGTAAGTTTAAGTATCATACAAAAATAATTATGAAAGTTATACTTGCATTATAGATAATAAATTCTTTTTTACTTTTTTTCAGGGAAAAAGACAGGAGATTATCATGATGAAATGAATTGGAATAATTTTTTCCAATGGGTTAGAAGGCAGTTACTACCAAATCTTCCTCCAAGGTCTGTACTTGTAATCGATAATGCAAGTTATCATAATGTAAAATCTGAAAAATCGATTACAACGCAGACCAAAAAAGCAGATTTAATTAACTGGCTCGTTAAAAACAATATACCACATGATGCTAAAATGACCAAACCAGAACTGTACACATTAATAAAAGTTCACAGACCTCCACCGAAATTTCTTTAGACGATCTTCTCGAAGAACATGGACAGAAAGTAGGATTACCTCCATATCATCCCGAATTAAACCCATAGAAAAAATATGGGCCACAGTAAAAAATTGGGGGGTCAACATAACACAACATTCAAGTTGGATAATGTTGAAAAGTTGCAAGAGAAAAGTTCCGAAGCATAACGCCGGAGGAATGGGCAAACGTGGTGGACCATACCGCGAAATATGAGGATGCATATATTCAAAGAAAACACCTTATGGATATTGCCGTCTTGGAAGATGATGAAAATGAATTATATATTATTTATTTAAACTTTTAGTTGTTTTATTAATTTAAAGTTCATCAGCAATTTAACTAAGGAATAGTTAAAAGATAACATTAACTTATTAATATGTTCGATTTAAAATATTTTATTAATGTACACACGCCACTGCTAAGATATCAGGTACCCCTACCGCAGCAGATTTCAGCCTAGCGCCATCAACTAAAGCTATGACGTACTGCGCGAACTGTGGCATAGCTATGACGAAATGTGCTCTTCACAAAAAAATCGAGCTCTTCTACCATTATTGAATCCATCCAAAAACAGATAACTTTCTTTTTTTTAATATATTATATCGTTAATTATCATAAGTTTTATACATATATAATAACTGTAAATATGGGCTGAAAGACTCGGGCCGATAGCCCTTTGGGAGTACTGAATAAATATATTTTCTTCTTCAAATTCAGTTTTTACATTTATTTTCTTGAGAAAATTTAAAACAATGCCCTTTTAATATACTTACTAATTTGTCAGGTCAAGTTAGGTTATTTTTAACAGTTTTATTGAACTTTTTTTTCTAGTTGAACTGTGAATATTTTTTATCAGAAATGTCCGCAAGATAAGCTTGTTTAATCCTTCATCTTTTTGTAATAAAAAATTATAATATTCATAAGGAAGGAAAACTCGATCATTTGCCACATTTTTTTTGTGGTTTATTCATTATTGATTACATTGGTAACCAGTGCAAATAGCTTTAATAACTATAAATTTATTTTTTGCAGTTCACATGCAATAACAAACGATATTTCGCTATTAGAAACTGCTAAGGCAGCTGAATATTTTCTCTCGAACGGATTAATTCTAACAGGAACTGCGACTGGACATGCAGCTGATGTCCAAGAGTTAAAGGAACTTAAATCAAACATCGATCTACCGGTGCTGATAGGATCAGGAGTTACTATTGATAACGTCGAAAAATACATCTCGGCAGATGCTTTAATTGTAGGATCGTATTTTAAGAAACATGGGAAATGGGATAACGATATAGATGAGGAACGATTGAGTAGATTTATGAAAAAAATTAAAAACTGTTCTCATTAAAAAATTATCTATTTAAGTTAAAAACTACATTACAAAAATATGGAGTGTTCAGAAAAAAATGTTTCTAAAGTAGACCTATCGCGCAAGTCGGAGAGTATAATTTTTCTAATTTTTAAGCGTCAGTTTGGTTTTAATTCAGAACCGTGCGTAATAATTTTAGTAATTTAGAAACATTTTTTATGGATCACTATTTATCATAAGTTAATTATAACTACTTCAAACAGTTTTATTAAAATTTTATAAAAATATATAATTAAGTCTTAAATAATTTGTATGTTGGTCAAAACCCTTTTCTCGTTTTTGTTCCAGTGCTCTAAAAAATATTGATAAAAATATTTTAAAGATTCCTTTTAGCATGTGAAAATAGTGATCAAAGAGCTTATTTATTATAATACTCCTTCAATTTATAATCAATGTCTTCATATTATCTTACATCATACCTTATCGCGTCACACAAGTCAAATTGTCACCCTTTTAGTGGAATATTAAGATTAGGGACCCTCCTTATAAATTATTGGCAATTTAGGTTGACAGGAGTCGAATTGTTTATTAATAAGATTTTTATCCTTTACACACAATGTTGTCATTACTATTTTCTTCCAAATAGTGTTTTAATTTAATTGAAGTTACAATGCAGAATTATTTTCCGTTGCATGCTCTCTCAAGGTCATCTGTTGTAGAACCATGTTTTGGGGTTCTAAATTTTGTTAAAGTAAAATGCTAAATGTAATAATAATCATGCACAGAAGAAAAATGCACTGGCAACGTTATGAGAAAAGAATAACAATCATAATAAATAATTCGTTACAAGTAGAGGTGAGCTTAATCTTATTATGTAAGGTTACCTAAAAGGTGACATTTGACATGATAAGGTATGAAGTAAGATATGTAGTGCATGCAAGTCATTATATAGAAAAAATCTATGAGTTTTGTACTTTCAGATGTCTTTCATACTGGTAATATCTCCAATGCTGTGGTGTCAAGTGCTCAATTTATTTCTCTTGTAACTTAAAGAAGACACAAATATACACTAATAGATTTCCTTGAAGCTAATAGGTCTATGAACACCATATATTTAGAAAAAATGGTTTAAAAGACAACCACAAATCTGCAACGATCGCAGTGCCACTATTATGTCCATTTTTAAACTAAAACTTGCTGAGCTTGCCTTCAAAGAAAAATAGGAAGTTTTAAAGAAAAACCTATTTTTAATAAAATAATTGAAGGGATGAAAACGATAAAAATATCAAGTCTGGTGTTATCTTAAAAAAAAGTCATGGATATATATAATTGATAAATGGATATAGTGAGCTAGATATGAATAGGCTCTTAATATAATATGGTAACTTGCTGTAGTAAAACAAGGATTAATGCAGTTGAACGGCAGCTAGAGCGACCTTGAAAGATCGAGCGTGCCGCATGCACTATCAAACATTGAGAGCAGTTGTTAGGCAAAAATTCGAAGATGCATGCTTATCATAAAGAAAATACCTCTGCATATGTATATTTTATAGGTGTAGCGTAAAGAAAATTATATAAAATATTTTTAAATCATCCGTGTACCCCATGCTCAACCTAAATGGTCTTAATGACTTTTAGAAAGACACTTCATTCAGCAAATTTTTTTTACAAACAATTAATAATTCGTATCACCACTGATCACAAAGCTGTGTTACAAATTACATTAATATATGGATAAGAAAAGGATCAATATAAGAATGGTTATCAAACAAAATTAATAACCACAAACTGGCTCAAGACATTCACAGTGTATCTTTAAATTCACTCACATGTGAATCCTTATAAATAGAAACGTCAATTCAGAGAAAAAGTAGAGGTGGGAGATATAGTGATTTTTCAAACACACTGTGAACCATTACTGCGATCAGAGTTCAGATTAGTTTTGGATAATGTAATTTTTAAGTAACAAAAAAGCACATGCAAAAGTTTTAATCACGAAATTTCTCAATTCTATAATAATTTTCACATACTAATAGTAAATAATGTGGCATTGCGACAAGTAATAAAGAATCTTTAAAATATTTTGAAATAAAAAAAACTGGTTATGAAACCAGTTACATCAAAAATAAAATAGAATAAAATAAAAATAAAAAAGTGCCCAACCAGGGACTAGTGGAAAAGTGTATAGCATATGAGCGAAATTAGGCATTCCAACGACCTGTACAAATGGCTACCAGTGGGATCTAACAGTTTAGATATGGCAACCTGTGGGCATGTTGTCATTAACAGGGTCAATGATACATATAGTTTATATAGATTGCTCAAAGCGGGTCGTTTGCGAGCGGCCATATTGCCTGGCAAGTGTTTATTAATTTGAATTGGTTTAGCAAAAATGTGTTTTAAAACCAATTTTCAGCCTTTGAATATAAAAAAAAATAATTATCTACATTTTTACTTCAAGGCATAAGCTTATGCTTACTTTTAAAACCATTGACCCTATCAAATCACAGTGTTGCCATATTTTACTCCGTCTTGTCCCTGTCAGTGGCCTATCTTTTCAAACGAACAGCCATTTTGTTTGGAATGCCTAATTAAATTAACACATTTTTGTTTGAATTTCTTAAAAAGGCAATAATATAGTTTAAAAAAAAAAGAAGAAGAAACGAGTTCCTTGACTCTTGTATGTTTTAACGGTGTTTTTGAATTTTTGTTTCATACCTTATTAAAATAAAAATGTGAAAAAATAACAAAAAAATTCTAAAGGTTGGAAGAATTTTACAAATGAATTCCCTAAAAAAAAAAACGAAAATACAAATATTGTTCCCAAAGTGTTAACTGTATGTCATCTATGCCCAAGATCGACTACCATTCATTGCAATTTTTCATTACTTTTCCGGACATGTCAGTCGGACTAGTCAAAAAATTACTTTTCATGGAAAGTCTCATCACCAGAAAATAGTAATAAAAGTAAATTTATCAATCTAAAAAAAAGCTTATGAACCATATTGTATTCAATATTATAAAGGACTGGACTGGACTTTACTATTTGGTTCATCAATAAAGTAAAGGATTTTTACGATACGTTTAAGATGACATCACACTTGGTAATAAAGTGTTGCCAATGAAATACATTAAAATCACTGCACTCCCCATCAGTGAAACGCTACATGATCTTACCAAACTAATCAAAAATGGCACAATTATGCGATGTTGAGCGGCAATTCAACGCATGCGCATTACTAAGTATTTGCAGAAAATCCATTGATGTGAGTGGTTGACTGTATCAATAATCAGGACTGGATCGCCTCGCCCGCCCGCTTGTTACTGGTTTGTTGATTTGAGAGTTCCCAGTCATTTTGCAATTATTTAGTAATTATCCCGGATCTAAGTACATACTTGCTTTGGTTATTTTGTTTTTGTGTTATTATTTGGACATTTGTTGTTTCTGCATATTTAAATTATTGCAATATGTTGCTTTATTGTTTAGTGGTAAATCAGGTGTCAAAAACAATGCGTTGTATGGTTTTATTATGTGATTATCTTGCTGCCAGTCCTGATGGGTTAAAAAAAAACAAAACTATAATAGAGCTAAAATGTCCATATGGAGCTAGAGTACTGGCTGTAGAAGAAGGAATATGCAATAAAAAATTACTTTTTGGAAAAAGGACAATACCATTAAAAATAAGAACCACAATAATTGGTATTTTCAAATTCAGGGCCAGCTGCACATAATACCTCATCTGACTGCAATAAGTGGCAACTTTTGTTTTTTACCTACTATTTGTAAATTTGTACAGTGGAGGGAAGTGAACAACATGTACCTGGGTCCCGGTGGTGAAAGCTATAGTGTAACCTGTTAAATTCAAAATGTTTCCTATTGATGGATTTTTTCGTTTTTTGGTGGAAATAATTTGCTTCTAGGCGTCTATAGCAATAAAAAATCCTTCAATAACAAAAGGTTATTTTTAATAAGTGACTATTAACATAGTTATAGTTTTTTTTAAAGAAGATAGATCTAAATTCTGACCAATAAATTAAATATAAATTACAGTGGCGGCTCGTGCTTTAGCACACAGGTGGAGCCACGGATTAATATTTTCGGGTGCCTAGCCTAGATTTTGACTCAAAGCCGTTAAAAAGCATATCTTGGGTAATATTTTAAAGTATATTAACGTACGCCTTTATCATTTTTACAAAATAATAAATAACATAAAAAACTTCCCATAATTTAGCTTTGAATAGTAATTTATTGCACTCCAACCAACCCTATACAGTAAAATAAAGAATATTTTACATTGAACAATATTTGAAGTCTTCGTTCTGTTTTATTAGTGAAAAGGTCAATCACTCATCTATTAAAGTCGTCATTGTTATTTAGATACACTTTTTCAGCTGATAACATTCCTAGCACACTTAGTCTTTCTTCGTTCATTGAGTTGCGTAAAAAAGTTTTTATCCTCTTCTAGCTTCAGATGTTGACATAGGTGTTGTCACTAAAACTTCCAGTAATGTAATAGTTTCTTGAAAAGTGTACTTCATATCTTGCGAAACTAATGATAACAGAGGAGTGGCTCCAGAAATGGTTTGCAACACTTCTCTTTCGTAAAGTACTTGCAGTTCTGTTTTTAGATGATTTTTTTCTAGAAATTGATATGCGTTAACTGTGTCAGAGAGCAATTGATCAGGAAAGTTTTTTTGGTATTCGATAAAATGTTCTTTCATGAATAATGCGGTAGCTTTCAGATGTCCTGTGAAAGTGAATTGTGTCCTAATCTGTTGTATAATGGAATTGCAAACTTCCAAGACTTCTATTTTTCTATTTGTTGAAACAGATAGATCGGAACGAGGTTAACGTCGCCTTTTCTGAGGAACAAGTTCAGCTTCGGTTTCTAAAAGTCCATTTCATTACGAATTTTTTGCATTGCATTTTCGAAAAATTTTTTAGATCCCGTTTAGCCTTGATAGGGTCGGTATTAATCGTCTGCAGTTGCTTAAAAATTATTTCGACATTGGCATGACTTTATGAAGAACTGTTAACCAAAATATGAAATCTCTGTCCTGTAATCTAAGTTTATAAGCACCGGCTTGCTCAATCATAGAATTTAATATCTTTGTCGTTCTCTAAAATATCCATAACGTGTATCAGTTCATTTTTCCTCGAGCGAGTGCATGGAAAAAGGTTTCAGTAACAGATTGCTTATTTTATTCATTTTGCTTCGGACTCTCGGACGATTTTTAATTTATTATACTTTAAAAACTCAACTATTCTAACTAACTACCTAACAAACAAAAATTTATAACGCATAAAATGTCAAAAGCAATACGCCGAACTCGCGATTGAAACAATACTAT